GTTCCAAGCCTGGCGGCAGCACCGCACACAGCCATTGCTCCTGCGCCCTCTCCGCTTCCCACACGAGGATCTGCTCCACCGCGGCTGTGCTGGTGGGCACTGTGGGACCCTGCCCGCACCGTTCATGCAGAGCAGACAACCTGTGCAAGCCGCCAGGGCTGGGCCCATCCAGGGCCCTGCGAGCTCCTGCTTGGCCCATGGCCAGACCCCTGGGAGCCCAGAGCTGCCTTCTACGGATAATGCAAATATTCCTTCTGCATCTCATTCGCCCTAAAGGGTCCAACACCACCACTTGGTACTGGTTCCCTCGAGGCTCTCAGAGAGGCTGGCAAAGCCCAAGGCTGGTAAATCATTTGGGGTTTCTTAATGGCAAAGCGGTCGAGGTCAGCCTGCAGGAAGAAACTAAGTGGATGCAAGTTAAGAAGGGAAGAGCTGTTTATGCTCCCCAGTTGAGGGGAAAAAAAAAATAAAAAATAATAATCAAGCTTTTTACCCTGGAGCCTCATCTTGGGTGCTGACATGTGAAAGTCATGGCCCAAACTTGCAGAAGTTCAAAGGAAGAACTAATCCCACCTGGCTTTGCTTGTCAGCCAAAGGTAAGGCTGCTGCTGTAGAGGCCACCAAAACAAGACCTTCCCTGTGGTCTTTCCAGAAGAGAAGCGTGTGCCAACATGAGGAACCCACCTAGCAGCAGAGCCCTCAGGAACACATGGCAGCTCACAGCTCTCATGCACGCTAAGTGAAAACCCATGGGGAGGCCTGGTCTTCATCTGATTTGTGGTACTACCTCAGAAGCCACAGCAGAAGGGAGACAGACTCCCTGGTGCAAGTCAGCCTGGCACGAAAGGACTTTCTAGCAGTCACTGCTTTTTCCCAATTCCTTCTTTTCTAGAAGATTTCAGATCAACATCATAGAGCTTTTCATAAAAGCCACTGGTTTTGTCTTGGTTTCCGAGTCAGTTCTTGATGCCAAAAGCATTCACAATTCACATGCATGGTGAACCTGTGCTCTCTTCGTTTTCTCTTGCCTGTCGTTACGGCGCTTGCTGGGGACTCAGAAGTCTTAAGAGCAAGCAGAATAATAAAAGCCAGCCACTGATGACAGCAGAGGCAGAGCCGCTGGTTTTAACACACTCATTGTATTTTGCAAAACCAACTTCCCTGATGGCACAAACATGATCAATGCGGCAGGCCTCCTCGCACAGGGTGAGGTCATATCTGACGGAGTTAAACTCGTAGTACTGCTGCAGATAGTGTGGATCCTTCCATATCCGCTCCAGCACCGTTTGCATGGAGCGCGGGGAGCCATCAGGGACTTGGAAGGCTTCTGTCAGCCTATACTCTTCCTCCCATGTTGGGAACTCCTCATCTCTTGTTGAGGCCCTCATGTTGGCACGAGTTAGGTTCAAGTAGTAAGTCACCATATCCTGCAGGGAGAGAGAAACAGAATGAGGACAAATCAGGAAAGGATCAGGCCTTGAGTGATCAGGCCTGGGATGCCATCAGCCCCTTCTCCTGGGCACGGGTGTGCAGCACCACAGACATGGGCGTGTACTCACAGCGGGCATCACATCTCCCCACCCAGCTGGGGGGAGCTGCCTCCCTACGGCTGCTTTCTACCGAGACACAAGCCTGGGGACAGACAGACATCTCTGGTGGGAGCTTCCAGGACTCACCACATGAGCACCCCGTTTCATAAGGGATGGCTTTTCTCTGCTTGACTTTTATCTGCAAACACCAGAAATTTTGAGCCTGGCCTGCTTCAAAGTCACGGTTATTTACTATCAGCACTGCCCACTGGCAGAAGCAAGGGGTGGAGCAGCATTACTGAGTGAAGTCTCAACTGCAAACAAACTAAAGAATAAAGTTTTTCACAACTTCTGTTCTCAGTCTCTTGCCCTTTTTCTCTCTGCTTCACTACCTCCCCAGCCTTCCACAGTATATTTTAGAGTTCACTTCTCATGCTATAAACATGTAAACAGAGCATCCACGGAGTTGCTTTATCCATTGCAAGGAAAGGCACAAACACCCCATCCTCCACCTCCTTGCAAGAGACAGGAAACAGAAGCTGCCCCTACAGTTCACCTAAATTCAGATTCATTACAAATGAGTCAATTTAGTAAGTAGGGGAGCCAAATAATTTTCTAGATGGTTAAATTTGGGGGGGGGGGGGTCGACAAGTCTGTCAGTCCCCAAAGAGAAGTTCTGCAATCCACGTTACCTGGGTAGTGAAGCATGTGTCAGCAGAGAACAGCAAAAGATGTGAAGAACACGACAAAGCCTGTCCTGCACTGCCCTGGGGAACTCACCCCAGCAGAAGGCCTGGGCCAGCTGACCGCAGTCGCCTTGCCTTTACTCACCAATGCCCTTACTAAATCTCTGTGCTAGCCACAAGGCTGAAATATCTTGGTTGTGGTCCTCTCCTACATAGCCACCAGGCTCTTGTAGCCCTGCCTGTTAAAACCACATGGAACGATTAAAGCACCCTTCTAAAACTGCAGTGTGCAGCACATGGGGATCCCCTACCAGCACTTTAAGGGTGTCTGGATCATAGTCGATCACCCGAATCCCAGGGTTATTGGCTCCATTGTTCACTCCAGGTAATGTTGTTTTCCAGGGAGTCACTCCAGGGGCCAGGAACATGACATTGATTGGAGAACCTTAACGGAAAGGCGAAACAACCCATGAATGGGAGACCCCAGCTTGTGTCACACCCTGCCCATGTTGTAGTGAGCAATCCAGGAACTGATCACGCTGCAAAAAGCAGCTTTGTCACCAGCCCTGGTTACAGCAGTGCACGCATACAGATCAGCACATTGAACAGCATCAGGATTGAACATAGGTCTGCTGCAGCCAAGAACAGGCTTTTTCCACTGTTGTCAAAGACTCTTGGAGTGAGGGTACACAAGAGAACTTGGCAAAGGAGACCCAGAGCACCCCAAGATTCATAACTGCTCCTTTATGTCTCGGCTGATGTCCAAAGCCCATCAATAGGGAGCAGGCAAGAAGCTGCAAGGCACTGAAGGGGAATGACAACATGTGAGGGTAAACAGGAAGGAGGACTAGAGCTACAGGCTGTTGTCTTTTGTTGACCAAAGCCTTTCACAAGCCTTTTCTAGCTTCTCAGCTGCATTCAGCTAACAGCTACTAGAAACTCTCATTGACAGTGATTTTCTGGGGGTTGGCAGAGCTATCACGCAAATGCTTGTGTGGCCAGAATGAGTACCTGCATCACTGTAAAACATCCGAAAGCTGTCCGTGTGATGGTGCCCAAAAAACTGGGCAGCAATCACTCTGTGGTGCTTCTGCACAATTTTCAAATATCGTTCATTAAAGCCACTGCGGAACCAGGGCTTTCCTCGTTTCTTCTCAAAGAAGCCAGGAGGGACGTGCCCCACCATGTAGACCTACAAAAGCAAAGAGTTGCACTGAATGCAAAGCCCACGCTTCCCACAGAGCATTGGCACAAAGGGTGGAGCAGGAGCGAGAAAAGCTTCCAGGCTGGGAGAAGTCCTCTACAAAGTTTGTTCATTTCTTTTAATACCATTTCATCTGCTCTAGAGGCATTGGTCAGTGTCTCTTCCAGCCACTGGAACTGCCCTCCAGGATCTTCCTCACCAGCTGTCTCATCATTCTGGTCATAGTACAGATTGGTATTGAGGACAACTATTCGCCCCCTTGTCCTTGGGCTGGGCAGCTTCTCACTGTAGAAAGCTCCTAGAAAATGCAACCAGCAGGGAAAGAACTGAAGGATCTGTCATGCTAGTTGCTGTGATCCCAGATCCCGTTGTTTCCACCCCTCTTGGCTCTCCTCACCAATAGCCACAGCAGAGTCACTGTCTGGACAAGGAGCCAGCAGCAGTCTGACCAGGAGCAACTCTTCCTCCTGCATACCTCCTGTCGTGCTTATGCCTTTGCAGGTGAAGGGAGACCCTGCATGGGGACAGCGTGCAGCACCAGGAGCTGGGCAGCCCTAGACAGTCACAGTGTTGGCCTGCACCAGCAGCTTTCTTAAAAGACTATTTTCCTTCCACTGAAGCTCACCACTCCGCGTTCTCTCTAAGGACACTTTCCAGTAACTCGGGCAAAGCAGGAGAGACTAAAGCATAAACAAATTTCTCTTCTTGCAGGAGAACTCAGTGCCAGAAATCAGCATTAAAGCAGACACTTCCTCTACAAATACTGTTGTTCTGAGCATAGAAGCAGGGAAAATGCTTTGTGGTATTCTCCTTAACCACCCCCGTCCTTCCAGAGTGCTGCCAGCATGAGCCAGTGGTGCCATACCTGCTCTGAAAAGAGGAATGGAAGCATCATTCAGCCAGGGACGCCACAGTTCAGCTGTTCGGTTGTAGATCCTGTGCTCCTTCCCTGGAAACTGATTCTTGGGGTGGAAGTCATGATTGCCCATTGCCACATAGACTTTAGTATCTAGACAGAGGAAAGGAGGCACAGAGGAATCCACACTTGCTTCAGAGTTTCTCGGCACCAAGGCTCCCTGAGGCACTCACAGACTTGGAAAAAACAGCATGGCTTGAGAGCTTTGCAAATGCTCTGACTGGGGGTACAACACTGCAAAGACCATCCCTCCCCGGGACAAGCCAGCCCAGAGCCATGGCTTTAGAGCAGAATCTGTGAGCTTTCAGCACCAGTAACACTCCTTCCCCCACTGCTGACATGGTTAAGTGTGAGGAAATCTTGCAGCCTTTTCTGTCTTAATGACTTAATACAGAAACATTTATTTCCCTCTCTTCTGAGCGAGTTAACCTGAAACAATGAGTGTGCATCAGACGCCTCAATTCAGACACACCTCATGCCATACAGCAATTAGGAAGAGGACAAACAAGTACCAACAACTACAGCCCTTCTGTGCCTTTCCATTTCCCAATTCTGTCATTTCTCCACCCTGGTAAGCTCTTCCCATGAGACTCTGCCCCTCTCCCCTTCTCATCCCCTCAAATCCTACCTGGAAACGTCTCTTTTATCAGAGAAGTCAGATTTTCTATTATGTGCAGAACCTTTTCTTCTCCAAGCTTCTCATTGGGGACGTGTGGAGTATCATCTCTAGAAAAATCAAAGCAGCACAGTCACCATCTGTGACAACAGGGAACATGCTTAAAGTGACAAGCAAGGCAGAGAAACTTGCTTATTTCTCCTTTTGCCTCCTAGAAAATCAAGTCAAAGCTGGGGCAGGAACCAGTACTGTGTTGACTGGCCAAGGCACTGAAGGCATTTCAAGGAATTGCTCAAAGTGAAAACCAGCTCCACTTTATTCTACCTTGAAAAATCTATACACAAGCATACAAAGTGGAGGCTCACTCTGCCTCAGTGCATTTAATAAGACACTAAGGCTGACTGCAAGTATTGCAAGGAACAGCATTTTGCAATCTCAGGTCAACATCTGATCAGCAATAGTGAAGCAAAGCTGTTTGCACAGCTGTTTGAACAGCAGGATAATAGCTCTCATTAAAATGAAACAAAGGAATGCCTTCAGTAAGGCAGGGATCACTGAGGGCTGCCTCCAAAAATGCAGTGAACACTTCAGTGTTTTCACTAATATGCTTATGGCATTTCTAGATGATAGTGGGCTGTCAACAAGCCCATTGGAAGGTAAGATCAAAGTTCAAAATGATGTCAAAGAATTGGGGGAAATAGTTTGAAGGAAAAAGAAAAATCAACATAAAGTCTTAAGGACCAATAACTACTTCTAAGTAGGAACAATCATCTGCAGAGACAGAAAATGAAAACAGGGGGTCACTGCACCCCAGGGCTGGAGGTTAGAGCAGATTACAGGTTGATGTTGTGCTGTTACAGGAGGACATATACACTTACTTATAATAACCATGCAAAATAAAGCTTTTACTGTCTGTACGTGCTATTGAGGCTTCCTGTGGAATAGGGTACCCACTTCTGGAGACCATACTAGGAGAAAACATGCTCCATTTGGGAATTCAGCAGAACAGCCCCTTTTTGAGACAAGTCTCCCAGGTGCCTCTCTACAGTGTGAAGAAATGCCACAAGTCTGTTTTGCAATGCTCTCCTCCCACTGTCTGTAACAGGCAGGACTTTATGCACATCCCATTCCCCCGAGGACTACAGGTAGTCAGAGTTTGTGTGAAGTCAGACAGGGCTGGCCACAATTAAAAAGAAAAGGAAGGATAGTGATGGTGATCCTTTCCTTACTTTGCTGCTGGGGCTTGTTGGGAGCCTCGAGAGGCCTCATCGCAGTTAAGCTCTCCCCCAAGCCTCCATTTTGCATTATAAGGGTCTTTTGCATTATCCCACCTCTCCAAAATGGTTACCACACAAAGAGCCCTGATCTCCCACAAGCTCCTTCCATCTCGGCCCTCTGGCAGCCCCTTCTCTGCCCAGACCCTGGCAAGCCTCAGAGCAGGCAGGACCACACCGCAGCCTGAGAGCAACGCATAACCCCAGAACATACGATGCCAATTCCTGGAATATTTGATGTTTCTCCTCTCGAAGCAGCAGCTCTCTAAAGAGACAGACACCGTCCCTCAGCCCCCAGGACTGCAGCAGGAGAAGGCGAGCTGAGGGGATCCCCGTCAGCGGGCGGGTTCAGAGCCCGTCCGACC